TGTTGAGGTGAACTCAAACCGATCAAGGAATTTACAGTGGAGGTAAGAAGAGTAAATCCTGGATAATCGAGCCATGTCATCTCCTGGCAATGTCAGTTGTATGTGACAGGATCATGGCAGTGTCTGGGAGACTTGGCAAGTCTCTGAGCTTTTCTTGGTAAGTCCAGCATTTGAAAAGCTCTGAAAGAGAATCCAAAAATGAATCCAAAGCCTTTTATCTCATAATGTAGAATGGTAGCCAAGTTTTGGTCAGCCTGTAAATGCCACTGTTTTTATTGTGTCCAGATGCTACCTGTTCTTTAATTGTTCATAGAAGTCCTAGGTTCCTGGATGTCCTAGGTTGGAATGGTCATTAAGCTGATAGGGACATGTTGCTCTTTAAATGTCAAGGCTGACTTATTAAGTTCTTTCTTAGGTGCTTTGGAAGTCATATATTGATTTTGAAATTGAGCAGGAAGAAACTGAGAGAACACGAAATCTTTACCGAAGATTGCTTCAGCGGACACAACATGTCAAGGTATCCTGCACTCTGTTGATTCTTTGATTTTGCCTAAATCAGCAGTTCTAAAGGAAATATCGTATTTCTGTATTTTAAGTGTATCAGGTTTTTTTTGTTGTTGTTGTTTTTACTGCTTTTCTTGCTTTTAGAAAGAGCCCCTGAGTCTCAGAGGACTTTGGAATATAAAGCTTATACTAGGTCAATATTTATACTGCATGGGAGTAACTTGAATATCACAGGATTGAATAAAAAGTTAAACTCTTTTCAGGATTTAAGACCATTTCAAACACCTAATTGGATATAGAAGCAGACTGCTTCAACATCATTGAAGCATATAATCAGTATGTTCTTTGGAATACTACAGATGAATACATTAGTATGTTCAGATGTCATTAACTAGAAATTAGCATTATTACATGATCGTTTTCTGGATGACGTGGTTAATTTGCTTCTATAATAATTTTTCTTAAGGTATGGATCAGCTTTGCACAGTTTGAGCTGTCTTCGGGGAAAGAAGGAAGTTTGGCTAAATGCAGACAAATTTATGAAGAGGCTAACAAAACCATGAGGAACTGTGAAGAAAAGGAAGAGAGACTTATGTTGCTGGAATCCTGGCGAAGCTTTGAAGATGAATTTGGAACAGTATTGGATAAGGAGAGAGTAGACAAACTCATGCCAGAGAAAGTCAAGAAGAGAAGAAAGGTCCAGGCTGATGACGGGGTAAGAACTGAGCCTGTGGAGCTGGTCATCTCATATCAGATGAGCAGAAATGCATCTGACTTTGAAATTTGTACTTCTAAGTGCCATATGTACAATCTGAGCATGGGAGCAGACAGCCTGGAGTAGGAGACAGTTGCAGCCTGGCTACCATGGAAACACAGCTATAGGAAGGTTCTTATGCACAAAACGACATGACCCAGTGGTTGGCATCTCCTGCAGGCATACTTGATGGGCTTAGATTGGAGGAAGATCTGTTGGGAAGCTAGCTGTTATAAGCAGAGCAAGTGATGGTGGAAGCTGGAACTAGAGCAATGTGTAGGAAGCCAAATCAGTGACCAGTTCGAGGTGGGGCTGTAAGGGCAGGGAGTCAGAATAGTAGTGCACAGATTGATGGCTTTCGTACTGAGTATGAAGTAAGTCTTTAAAAATTAAGTAATTTATTTAAATTTATCAGAGCACAAGAAAAAGGAGTGGCAGGCAGAGGGAGAAGCAGGCTCCCCGCTGAGCAAGGAGCCCGACTCGGGACTCGATCCTGGGATCCTAGAATCATGACCTGAGCTGAGGACAGCCGCTTAACCAGCCAACCCACCCAGGTGTCCCAGTCTTTAAAAATTTAAAACCTTAGAAAACTACAAGATGGGAAAAAAAAAAAAAAAATCTTTGTTGAGTATAGAAGAGCTCTGCTTTAATTTTTAGGATCTTTTTCCACTGGTTTTTAGCTCTCCGTGAGCTCCACTTGCAGCAACACCAACCCCAACAGCTACTTTTTTTTAATTCAGTTAATCAACATAACGTTAACATAAGTGTATTGTTAATTTCAGAGGTAGAGTTCAGTGATTCATCAGTCTCATATAACACCCAGTGCTCATTATACCCCGTGCCCTTGTTAATCTGCATCACCTGGTTACCCCATAGCTACTTGTTCACCCCAATCTTGCAGGCCCAGCCCTTGTTCTTTCTGTGATGGGCTTTGGTGTTGTTTTGTAAATGAACGTAAGTTGAATTTGAACACTCCAGGGTTTTGCAGTGAAAATTCTCCACTTTAAAGTAACTGCAGGGTGTTTCAGCCACGTGTTGGCTTATCTCATTTTACTTTTTTTCCATAGTCTGATGCAGGCTGGGAAGAGTACTATGATTACATCTTTCCGGAAGATGCTGCCAACCAACCCAACCTCAAGCTTCTGGCCATGGCCAAACTCTGGAAGAAACAGCAACAGGAAAAGGAGGCTGCAGAGCAAGACCCAGATAAGGACATTGATGAGTGTGAATCCTGATGTTCTTGTTCATATTGATAAGTGTTTTATTATTTTTATAAATTAATCGGAACTCTTGTGACTCCGTAAGTTTTTGTATATTTCACCAGTAAGGAATTAGAGTCTTTGATAGCTATTTTTTGAATTATTTTTAAAATGTTCTTGGGTTAGTGAGGGGTGGGGGGGTTGCAAGAAAATTTTTTTAACCATTAGTTTTATCAGAATCCAAACATTTTTTTTTTTTTTTGGTCCATATCACGTATTAGGAAATCTAATTGAGGTAATGCTTTCAAGATGGACCTGCACTTTTGAAAGTGTTTTTCTAGAAGTGTTCAAGTTACATTCTACAGTAACTTTTAAAGTGTTTTTTTATGCTTGTCTTCTTCATAAAGGTATTTAGTGCACTCACCTGAAATCTCTAACCTCTTCACATCTTCAGTCACAGACTCGAATTCCATTCCCAGCTGCCACTAATCTATAACTTAATCTTTTAGTTTCTTCTCTCATAAAATGGGCATCTGCCAACTCATTTTGAAGATTAGAAACAGAATATACCTGGCACATCGTGACTGCTCAATAAAATGTTCATTCCCAGCCACTTTCCTAAACACGTTCATCCTTGTAGAATTGAATGTGCTTGGATTAATTTAACTTGTAAATATCCGTACTTTCTTAACAGTGGCCATTGGCACTACATGCTTTTGAAAACACCAGTTGGGAAATAATTTACAGTTACTGTATTTCCGAACAAGGTCTTTTTGCTACCAAGATGTTTTAGTCAAATTTCATGCTGTAATCAGTTTACCCCACTGGTTGAGCTCTGTAATGGCTTAAGGAATAGTAACACATGTGCTGTGAAAAACAGTGCCCCCTGCTCCAGTAAATTTAGGAAACCCCAGGTTAAGGTTGAGCCTTTGTTAATCAAATCTCTTTACAGTTCAGCTTCTCAGAGACTTGGATACATTACTGTACATGATGAACCCCAGTAGCAATGCTGGCCTGTTTCCCAACCTTACTGGACGAGGGAATCATTTCCACCTGTAGTACCAATAAACATTCCCTAGTGTGTTACAGCAGAAAGTAGCTACTGTAATCCAGGACACATTTAACTTAGGCTTGGTTTAGAACACGTAAAAAACACCAAAGGTAACCAACTATAATGCCAAAAAAGAAAACTTAAAGTAGCACAGAGATGTTAACACATTTGTTGAAGCACTGCTCATATCCTCAAGCAAAAAATATTTGCCTTAATTAACTGATTATTTTCTTTAATCTGGCCTGATTTCTCAGGCCTTTTTTCTTGTTTTGTTCACTGCCCAAGCTATTTGACTCGAACTGTCATCTTTAAGAGTATTTTTTCACCTGGGAGGGCAACTAGCAACTTTATTATTGGCAGATTTAATTGGGTAAGGCTTACTAAATTTACAAAAATGTTAAGTTAGGAATAAAAAAAGCTAGTCAGTATGGTACTAAGTTTTATCTTGAAAGTAAGCTAGTGTTTGAGGGCAGAGGCGGCCAGGACGGCCAGGATCAAAGGCACACCTTTGTTCAGCCTCAGTGCTTCCAGCTCTGGACCAGTGTCATCCAGCTGCTGGGTGTCACTGAGGTCTGGTTGGCCAGGAGGAACATTTCTGATTTTAATACCCTTTAGCTAAGTGCAGAGTCAAGGAGTGAGATGAAAGCAGGTCAAAATGCTAATTAAGTGACTAATCCGAGTCTTTTTTTTTTTAAGATTTTATTTATTTATGAGAGAGAGAGAGAATGAGAGAGCGCATGAGAGGGAAGAGGGTCAGAGGGAGAAGCAGACTCCCTGCTGAGCAGGGAGCCCGATGCGGGACTCGATCCCGGGACTCCAGGATCATGACCTGAGCCGAAGGCGGTCGCTTAACCAACTGAGCCACCCAGGCGCCCTAATCAGAGTCTTCTATAATTCTGTCCTGTTTATGCTGCATAAGAACAAAAATTAATAGGTTCCCAATGTAAACTCCTACCGCCACTTTCTGGCTGGTGCCAACATGAAATGCGTGAAGGAAAAAGTTTACCTTCTCATGGGAGAACATGAGTAAGTCCTTTAAGAGGCAAAGCTTTTTAGTAATCGTTTCTGTGGGGTTTTCTTTAGCCACTTCTTTTACTCACTGGGTATTTTCAGGTATTACAAGAAAACAATACATGAAACTACATGGGTGGCCCACAACCTAGTTTTATGGCCTTTCTTTTGGAATTAGGTTTTTTCTCCTTTAAAGAAACCTCAGTGTCTTTCTATATTTTCAAAGGCAGGATTTAAGCAAAGTGGTGTGAGATTAGACAAGGAAAAGATCTGGGAGTAACAGTATGTAAACAAGTATCTGGGAAGAATTTACTATGCAATAAGAAGGATGCCTAAATATTGCTGGGCAAGGGCTGTTTCAGTATGTGTTTTAAAAACGCTTTCTATGTAAGCCAAACAAGAGAAACATCATATCCTAAATGATGGCTCTTCTCAATCCTGATCTAATTTTATAAATGACCAACAAGCTTCCAGACATTCATAGGGTCTACAGTGCATTTTATTATACATCTTAGATTTATACATTTCATATATGCTTTTAAAGCTTCAATTAACAGTTTGATACAAAATAAAAAATACATATGTAGCAGTGGTTCTCAGGCACAGAATTTAGGAGGAGACTGGAGCAAGTTTTTTTCCCTAGCATACAGTAAATATTATGAACCAAATCAGTGGAATGTTTCCATCTGACCCAGCTGCCTTTTTGATTGAATTTTATTACAGTGAACAGCTTTAGTAGGTATGATATTGCTAACTGGAAACAATGAGACTCAAGTTTATAACCTGTATTTTCTTGAAGTCTGTGAGACCTAAATGATTACTTTTCTCCTAATAGAGCTCCAAGATCATCCAATGAAAATAATATTGTCCATAAAATATCTGGAGCATCAGCCTAAGAACCACTGCCCATGGTTATTCAATGTCTTCAGGCCTCACAGGATGAGGTAATGGTATGATGGATTTCTTCTCAGTGTCTCTGGAAAGTGCTTTCCTCATATCTGTTAGGAAGCAAAATTTAATGTAAGTACCCAAATACCAAAATACCTTATGTCAAAGTATGTATGTAAAGTTCTCATAAAAGGTTTGTCCCCTACCCCCACATTTCCTAGGTCCTCAGAGACAAATGTTTTTGAGATTCCCAGTCACCAGTACTCAGCTCTTTATACCAATGTTCTTTTGACAAAATCTTAGTAAAATTAACATGCCAGTAACATAATAAAACAACTGATAGCAGTTAACCATTGGTTAATGTAATTTAACCATTGATAGGTTCATAAAGGCAGGTTAAAGGAGATTTAAATATTATAGCTCAAATTTAAAATATTAAGACCAACAAATACTATAATTCTTTTCCACTTGTTAAAATGACTACAGTGTGTAGAATGAATGTAAGTGTTTTGGCTTCTCTTGGCGGAGACTGCCACAGAAGGGAGCTCACCATAGGCGTCCTCGTCGGGCTCCCCGTTGCTGGCCGAGTAGTACTCTATGACCGTCCTATACACACTGTAGCCCAACTGCTTATACATGTTGACTGCGACTTGGTTAGATACTCTTACAAAGAGATCGACAAAAAATCCACCCTTTCTTTAAGAAAAAAAAAAGGGAAAATGTCAGTTACATATTTTTTAAAAACACTTGTTTTTAGTTGGCTTTGACTACTATTCAAAGAATGGTAATAATAGGACTTTGCAGCTGATTACCTCATATCCATTTTTATTACTGAGGATTTATGACAATTATTTTGAGGAACAAAGAGATGATTTTCTTAGCATACTAACATTTTAAAACCTGTATTTTCTTTAAAAGATAAACTTTTTTTTTTTAAGATTTTATTTATTTATTTGACAGAGAGAGACAGTGAGAGCAGGAACACAAGCAGGGGGAGTGGGAAAGGGAGAAGCAGGCTTCCTGCTGAGCAGGGAGCCCAATGTGGGACTCGATCCCAGGACCCTGGGATCATGACCTGAGCCGAAGGCAGACGATTAACGACTGAGCCACCCAGGCGCCCTAAAAGATAAACTTTTAAAACATTTTTTAAAACCATAATTCTGTCTTGTGTATTTTATATCACCGTAAATGACATGCTCATTTTATCAAGTAGTGATACAATATTTTCACCCATATGCGCAAACTAAAGATCTTGAGCAATAACAAGCACCCGTGTGGCCATGGCCCATGTGTAATGACAGGACACGGGCTGCCGGACACTGGCAGCCCGGGAGCCCTCAGGTCTCTCTGGGCATTGACAGCTATCCCCTTTACCCAGAAGTCTCCAAGTCTTGACTCTTACTCTCATTTGCTCCTTGGTTTTTGCTGTAGATTCACCACCTAGTACAGTTTTTCCTATTTATGAACTTTATATAAATATTATCGTACTTTGTATATCCTCTGGTGATTTGCCCCCCTCAGTAATGTGCAAGTCAGCCTGGTGTAGCTGGATCTTGTTCATCTTCCCTTTGTTTAGCATTCCATTGTATGGATGGATATACTACAAGTTGTCCATGGTTCCACAGATAAACATGTCACGTTTTTACTATTATAAACTATGCTATGAATATTTTTATTGTATGTCTCATGGTACAATATCTAAGGTCTACAACTAGGAGTGTGATCACTGGCTCATAGGGGCATCTTCAACTTTTTTAGTTAATACCCATTTCCCAGTCTGCTCACACTCCCAGAGGAGGGTAAGACTCCATTCCTACAGTGACAAAAGGCTTGGTGCATCAGACATTTTTATTTTTGAAAATCTCATAAAAGTATCTCCGGGTAATTTTAACTGGCATTTCTCATTACTAATGAGGCTAAATATATTTTTGTAGGCCATTTAGATTTCTCATTTTTTAGTCCTTATTGATCCTTTACACATTTTTTTTTTCTCTTCCCAACTGTGGTTCTCTATGTATTCTGGATAGTTGACATTATGTAAAGGATTGTTGCAAATCTTTTCCCAGTTTGTGGCTTAACTTATTATCCTCATGTAACTTTTGATAAAGTATGAGCCTCTCCTTTGCAGTCAGACTTTTTATAGCTTATTTAAGGGGGGAAAAAAAAGTTAAAAGGGCTTTTGAGTTTTGCTTTTCACATCTAGGTTTTTAATAAATGTGGAATTGATCTGTGTATGGTAAGGTAGTAATCTGGGAAGTTTTTTTCCCATGTGGATATCCAATTGTGCCACCATCCCTTCTGAAGAATGTGTCCCTTCACTGCTGCTCTGCAGTTGCCTCCTCTGGAGTATGTCAAAATCCACGTATCCCTGCATCTATTCCTCGATTCTGTTCCACTGGTCTAGACAAGTATGCCAGCAGTGACACAGAGCTCACTCATTACTGCTTGATATCTGGAGGGGCAAACCTGCCCATTTTGTTGTTGTTCAAACTATCTTAATCTCCTTCCATTCCCCTGTAAGCATGAGAATCAATTTAACAAGTCTCACAAAAAAGACTGGAGATGTTGATTGCAATTACATTGGCTCCATGGATCAGTTTAGCCCTCCATGCCACTGATCTAGTTTTCTCTCCACTAAGATAGGTCATCTTTTCTGTCTCTCAGGAAAGTGTTAGAAACTTCAGTGAAGTCTCACACAGCTTTTGTTAGATTTTTCTCAAAGGGCTTAAGGTATTTTGATGCCATCATAATTGGCATCTTTTCCTAAATTTTACTGTTTGTATAGAAATTGAAATTTTATACTGACTGTCCAACTCTGCTTAACTTTTATTCTAAACATTTATTTATAGCTTCTTGTGGTTTTGTTTGTACAATCTTATGTGTACAAAATAAGAGTTTTGTTTCTTCTCAGTTCTTGTATCTTTTATTTTTCTTGCTGTACTGTGCTGTCTAGATTTCCAGTAAATTACTGAAGATGGGCTGACTGTAGGCATCCTTCCTTGTCTCATCCCTCTCTTCAAAGGGAAAGCATTCAATGCATCACTGAAATTATTTACTACAGGTTTTTGGTAGATACTCTTTTTTTTAGGTTAAGGAAGTTCTCTTCTATTTCCTACACTGCTAAGTTTTTAATCAATAGGATTTTATCAAAGCATTTTCTGCACTTACTAACAAATGTTCTCCTTTCATCTATTAATATGGTGGAATACATTTACAGATTTTCTCATGTTAAAACAACCTTCCTTCCCCTGACAGATCATCCTTTTTATGAATTGCTGAATCCATTTTGCTAAGATTTTTCTGGGATTTTTGCATCTATAAAGACTGATATTTTCTTCAAATTTTCATTCCTCTTATTTCTTGTTGGGTTTTCTTACATAAGTATTATTTTAGCCTTAAAAAAAGTTGAAAAATGTTCCTTTTTTTTAGTTTGTGTAAAAGTGAACTTATAGTTGTTACTTCTTAAAATAGTTGGTAAAATTTGCCAGAGATTCCATAGTTTTCTGGAAAGATTTTTAGCTACTGATTGTAATCTGTTGAGGAAGGGGGTCTGCCTGCAACCTATTTTTGTACTGCTCTCCAGCCAAGAAGTTATTAAAATTTTGAAGGGGTATTTTAATACACACACACACACACATACATACACACAAGAGAGATATTAACTGGCCTGTAAAGCCTAAATATTTATCTGGCCCAGGAAAAGCACTCACCCCTATTCTATGCCCTTAATCAATTTGTCTAATTGTTCTGTCAGTTAGAAAGAAGCATGTTCAAATCTCCCCCTATGATATTGTTTGCTTATTTCTCCTTGTATTTTTATCAATTTTTGCATTTTATTTTGAATTTATGTCACTGTGTACATAAAACTTGTAATTATTACATCTTCCTGATGCATTCAATCTTTCCACCTATAAGCAATGACCCTTTTTTACTCTGATAATTATTGAACTACTCTGTGACTCTTGTTAAGTATACTGTCTTTTGGTCAGAATCTGCATGATAATTTTAAAAATTTCTTTCAATCTTTGTCTTTAATCTTTTCATATATCTCCTGTAAACAGAATACAGTTCTGACAGTCTTTGTCTTTTACTGTTGTAAGAACACTTTAGTATGACATTTTTTCCCTCTTAATAAATTTTAAATGTACATTATTGTTTTACTACAGGTACAAGTACAGCAGACTATAGAGCTTATTCATTCTGTTTAACTGAAACTTGTGCCTGTAACTTCCCATTCCCCTCTCCCCCTGGTCTCTGGCTACCACCATTCCACTCTTTGATTCTCCAAATTTACCTGTTTTAGGTATTTCATAAGAGTGGAATCACACATTATTTGTCTTTCTGTGGCTGGCTTCACTTAACATAACATCATCAGGTCTTTGTCTTTTAACTGGAGTAATTAGTCCATTAACATTTAGTGTTGTATTTATGGATTATATTTGGATTCATAGCTAACATCTCATTTCAGGCTTTTTATTTGTTTTACCACTTTAATTTCCTTTTTCTTTCTTGTTTTTAAGGTATACAGTTAAAAATACATGTATGTATGTATGTAGATAGGTATATATACACACACACACAAATCTTACAGCAACTATTCCAAAGTAATGAAGATTTAGAAACTGGTAAAGAAGGGAACTTAGTGGTTTTCTACTGAGAGAGAATTTATCCCATAAGTACATAAAATCATATGTGTACGGTAATAACTAATTAGAACCCCTTTCTGAACTCCCTGTCCACTATATAATAATGCCAAATACTTTTTTCAGTAAGATAATGCCATTAACAAATATGTAAAAACTAAAAATTTTCAAGTACTAGAACTTACTTCTTTTTCAGCTAATACTATTTTCTCTCTTCTCTGAATAAGCTCAAGTTCCTCTTGCCCTAACTTGGCCCAGAGGATTTTCAGGCCATGGTTACTTCTTTAAAACTTACCTTTTTAAATCCATTAAGTGGAAAACCTCAAGAGCCCTTCTCAGCAAATATTCCCTTTCCTATATATTGCTAGGCATTTAAAAGTAGAGAAAAAAGTAAATGGTAGCCTGACAACTGATTAAACTTATACACACATCTCTTATCTCTTTTAGAATGGGAGCTGGCAGGAGTCTTTTAATTCAGTTACTTTTATCTCACATAATGAGGGTGTGAGATTGACATACACAATAGGTCTTTTTTTAGGGGTGGCTCAGTTGGTTGAGCGACTGCCTTCGGCTCGGGTCATGATCCTGGAGTCCTGGGATCGAGTCCCACATCGGGCTCCCTGCTCAGCAGGGAGTCTGCTTCTCCCTCTGACCCTCTTCCCTCTCGTGCTATCTCTCATTTTCTCTCTCTCAGATAAATAAATAAAATCTTTAAAAAAAAAATAGGTCTTTTTTTAAAAAGCCCTAATGCTGGCAGTTCCCAAACTGTGCTCCAGAGTGCTCCAAGGTGGCCCTGTAGGATATTTCAAATGTTTGGGGAAAACACAGACAAACCTTACATGTCAGATACTCGCAAACTATTAGTTTGATATAATCACAAATGCAGCATTACATGGTGTCACATTTCTTATGACAGAGTAGGTCATCAAAGGTTTTAATGAAGCCAGGTTTTGGCAGTCCCGGTGACTAAAAAAAAACCCCAGTACCACAAGAAAATCAGTATGAAACAAGAATGCAGGTGGTTGTGTCAAATCTGTTTCCAAGGTTGAGAAGTCATGCAATTCCCAAAAGGCACACACATCTCATTACTTGGTAACCACAATTATTACTTAACAATGAAATAAAAATACTTTTTCTCTCAATTTGTTTATTTTTTCCAGCTACTAGTTTGTTAGGCCATAAATACTTACTAAGCAGTTAGGACGTAACTGCTTAAGTCTGAACGGAGGGATTTTTTTTTTTTTTTTTTTTTTTTGGGCCATAGGGGCACTATGAAAAAGATCACTGAGATGCCAAGGGCAACATTAACAGAGAATATGGGAAATCTGCCACAGTGGCAAGAACACTAAAAAAAAAAAACCTTAAGGACTAGTCTTTGATTGCACCTGTTACCCAGCACATAAGCCCATGGCAGGTCACTCACTTCACCTGATTTTTCCTCAATGGCTAAATAGGGACAACACTACTACTCTGAATATGTGAATACCCTGCAAACTGAAGCACAACATTCAGGCTGAACAGAAAAAAAAAAAATCTTACACATTTTCACCATAAGAAAAATCAAATAGTTAGGGTTTATAAATTATCACTTGAAAAGCAGGATCTCACCTTTCTGAAATCTCCTCTAATAACTCCATAAGTTTAGCAGCCAAACCAAGGCGTCGAAATTCCGGAGCAACAGAGAGAGCTGTGACGTGCCCGTGCCATTCTTCCCTAGCTACTGAGCCTTCCGCTTTACCCATGACTGCCAACAGAAGATTGCACTCAGGAATTAAACACATGGATTTATACATGAATACAGAATGACTGTTGGCACATTTTTATGATAAAGGAAACTAATGACAAAGTTTTAATTTTTAAGTAACACATAAAGTCATCTAGCTAATGGTTAATAGTGCTCTTATTTGACTTTCACTTAGAGAAAGGTTTCTTTTAAAAAAAAAAAAAAGGAATGAACTGAAAACACAACTAATTTTGAACACAGAACCAGAATATCTATTTTTTTTAAATATCTACTTTTCATGTAGGTATGTATGTGTACCCAAAACTGAGATAACCCACAGCTCAAATTTTCATTAGTAATGCTACTAATTCAATGGAGATGGTGCAATTCCTGTGTTATGTACCAAATAAACCATGTAGAAATGTAACGTAAGCACAGAATCAAAGATCCATGAAGACTGAGGTCATGTCTGTCTGTAGGCCTGAGGCCTAGAGCACAATGCCTAAAATGTAGAAAGCACCGTCGAGCTGTCAGTGGTTAAAGGAAATAAAATTATAGGCATCATGATTATATTTCCACCTCTGCAATCAATCTAAAACAATCAGTTGAAACCTATATTAAAATCTCAACTACCTACCCAAAAAAGTTCTAGTGGTATACTTACTATAACCCATTAACTCTCCACCAGGTGCCTCTGCAACAATGAAGTACTCTGGCCAGTGGGCAAGGTACTGTAGGTAAAAAGGAATCCCATACTAGAGTCTCGTTAAGGAGTGTGGAAAGTAACAGGCAGTACACAGTTCTTCATAAAAGAAATATTGTGAAGAAAGTTCCTTTGAAAAGTACATTGTTACTTTATCCCCAGCTCTATATATGTGTGATTTCTATATTCATGTCAGTACATTAAATATTTAGGTTAGCACTAATAATTTGTAACAAAATTGCCTGAATAAAGAACTTCAAAAATATGAGTGGCGACAACACCATCTAACAGCAGAGACCCAGAGTCTGAAGTTCTATCATCTGTGTCCATACTGATCACACTGTATTTAAATCTCGGCACAGCACTTATTATCACTGGATATTGTTTACTATCTCTCTCCCTTTTGGATATGAATGTCATGTTCACTCTGTCCCTGGTGCTTGGCACAAAGTAGATGTTCAATACATTTATTTTTCCATAATTGCACTAGAAAATTAATGACTAGTTCCTACTTTAGCTACAGCTGTGTGGCTGTGAAAGTAACTTTAAAAGTTAAGCATTTCCAGAGTCAACAGTTACCTAGTGTTTCCCCTGCACTGATTCAAATTCTCTCTTTCTGGTACTACAAATAAAAGCTGACTTAAGAGTGAAAGCCTGAATAATTTGCTCATTACGAAACTCTTCAATCCTGGTGTCCTTACTGACATGTGCTCATTCTTCTATTTCTTCTTAGTGTAAGCTTGCTGATGCAATTCTCTAAGGGGCTACCACCAATCACACAATTTTGTTTTAAGGTTCTGTAAAATCTTCTCAGTTGTAAACTCTTCAAACTCTCCTCTGAACAATAGCCACTGTTTCAAGCACTCTCATGACCCATAACAGGGCAGGCCGGCCAGTCTTCTTGCCACTCAGCCACCGATACACACCGTTACCGCCTCTGCTCCAGCTCCAGGAGGAGCCCAGATGTCGGCTCAGCAACAACCAAGCCCTGGCAGGTTACTTTCAAACATGGCCTCACCTGGATTATGGGACTTTTACTGTAAATTTGAAGTGTCAGTGGACACACACGCTATAACTTGATTCGCATCCTAATACTTTACCTTATTATACAGTGAAAATTTTTGTGTCATTCAGAAGTCGTTTTTTTTTTAAACATGGAGGTCTCTTTAAAAAGTCAATTTTTGAAATATAAAATGAAACCTTTCGGTGATTTGCTTTTTCACTCAGCTTTATTTCTGATATGTACCCCTGTCGTTACCTATACCTAAAATTAATCTTTAATAATGTACAGTACACTCCGTTGGGTAAACAATTTAAATTTCCTATCTCCTGGTGAGGGACATGTGGGTTATTTTCAGTTTCTCAAAAATCTTTTTAAATTCCTCATGAATACAGTATACTTTAACCATTTCCTTGTTGTGTGTGAATGCTATTCCAAATTTTTAATATAATTCTGCAATAAAATTTTTTGTAATGATATAACTCAGGTTAACAAACATTTCCTATAATGGGACAGACAGTAAATATTCGTGGCTGGGTGGACCAGCTCTCTGATGCAACTACTCTAACCATGAAAGCCATGGACAAAGCTACAGACAATATGTAAATTATTCAGCGTAGCTGTGTCCAATAAAACTGTATTTACAAAAATAAAAATAGGCAGTGGACCAAATTTGACCCATGCACCTTAGTTTGACAATTCCTCCCCTAACTGACTCTATTATTTTTAGCTTCTGGGAAATGGAATTACTTACTATGTATTACACTGCCAACGTGCCTTCCAGAAAGACTGCAGCAATTTATACTGTCACTAGCAATTTATGAGAATGCTCCTCTTACCCTCACCAGCGTGAGTTTTATCATTTTTTTAATCCTTGATAATTTGATAGGTAAAGCATGGCATCTCATTTTGGTCTTAATCCACATAGCTTTTAACTGGTGAGACTGAACTCTTAATAATGTCACTGGCTTCTTATATGCCCTCTTTTGTTAAATTATCAGTTAATATTACCCTCCTACCCTGCAATGGACATGGAGTAAAAGCTAGAAAGCCACTGAGAATGTGGGATTGTCTATTAGTACAACACAACCCAGAGCACCCCAACTTCACACATCTTTGCCCATTTTTCAATGGGGAACATGATAGATACAGCTAATTATTACCCCAAATCCTTTCTTAGTAACAAGCCCTAATTTAAAGCTGGGCTCATCCCCCAACTGTTACAGCTGGATGAGTGTGGCAGGGGCAGCTGCTGGTCAATGGGATACAGGAGTCCTGTGTGGTACTTCCTAAAGGTACCCCTGAAAGGGAAGGTCATTCTCACCTTCCCCTCTGTCGGTCCTCCTGCCAGGAACATGGAGGTCATGCTGTTTGCTCGGGCAGCTATCGGGGACAGGAAAGCCAAGGCCACCCTGGGAGTGAGACAGTGGTTAAAGTGCACAGCCTGGTCGCCGATGACTTCATGAAACCACCACAGACTGCTCGTCACCTCCAGGCTTCATTCACAGAGTAATAATCCATCTTGAAGTCACTGCTTTCGGAGCCACACTTACTGCCCAGGGGCAAGGTAGGCAGGGGAGCTGCACTGCTGTAGATTTATGAGCCCATTCTGTTAGCAGCTTGTCAGGCAGATTTAAGACAACTCTTACCCCCAGTTCGTTTGGTTTTTTAAATTACTTTCAATGTTCCTTATGTTTCCTGGCCTATAAGTTTTAAAGTTTTTTGGTACTCAAGTCTATTTTTTTCTTTTGTTTGTCCGTGTTCCTTACTCTTAGCCTTCATTTAACTTTTTTTTTTTAAAAGGATACAGTTTCTGTAAGTGGATCCAAGTTACTAAAAGAAAGAAAAGAAATGTCAATAGTAAGCAGTGTTGACAAAACCAGTTTAAATAAGCCACTGAAACTAAAAACATGCACCAGGAAAACAAAACATGCCAAATCCACAACTTTAAAACCAACTTTAGGGCTAAGGAAAATAGTGTAAGCTATGGAATGGCCAAACTGAGCCATCACAGCCTCTATAAAGATACCTATAAATTTTTATTTAACTGTTTCTTCTTTACAAGTTACTTTATAGTTAATATGTCTGCATCAAAACCTTCCATTTTTGAATTGGCAATAAGTCATTAATGGAACTGGGGCCCAACAAGGCATGTAAATCACAGACAGAAAGTAAGACTAGCTCCCGCAGCATCCGACAGCAGTCCCTTCCTCCTGTGTCTGGGCCTTCACCTGCTCAGTCTGGGCTCTCTCACCACTCAGTGTTTGCTCCCCACTCTTCTACATTCTCACTTCCTCTCCCCCACCACCCCATCCCTTAACTTTTGGAGGAAGACTCCTGCATCTGGCTTTGGTGCTGCCCAGCACCTGTCTCACCGGCATATCTGATCACAATACTCCTGAATCAGCAGTTCTTAAAATGCACCTTTGCGGCCGGCTGCAAAGAGCTCTGCCCCTCACTTTCCTATTCAATTAACGGAACCACTATTTTGCCAGGCTCAAAACCAGCCACCCACAACTCTTCCTCTTGTATATCCAGTCAGCTTCTTCCTTAGGACCCTTACCAAGGCACTTCTCTAGGCCAGTAGTTCTCAAATTTGTTGGTTTCAGAACCCATTTACACTCAAAAATTACTGAGGACCCCAAAGAACTTCTGTTTATGTAGGTTAGATCTACTGATATTTAAACTTTCTAAAATACTCATTTTAAAATAACAACATGTTAATATGAATAACCTTTTTTTTAAACCAGAAGTCATTTTTTTTTTTTAAGATTTTATTTATTTGACAGAGAAAGACACAGCAAAAGAGGGAACACAAGCAGGGGGAGGTGGAGAGGGAGAAGCAGGCTTCCTACTGAGCAGGGAGCCTGATGTGGGGCTCGATCCCAGGACCCCGGGATCATGACCTGAGCCGAAGGCAGACTCTCAACGACTGAGCCACCCGTGCACCCCGTCACTCTACTTTCAAGAACACAATTTATCGACAAGAAAGGCACTGTTTTAACAATTTTACAGATCTTTGTAACGTCTGGCTTAAGAAAGCTGGATTCTCACATCTGTCTGTTATGCTTGGTATTGCAAGTCACACAACTGAAAACTCCACTGTGCACTTGTGAGAGAATGAAAAAGGCTTAAAAACCCATCTTGGTGATACCCTGAAAATCACTCTGACTTTGCAAAAAGAAGCTTGGAGAGCCTTGGCCACACCTGGACAATCACTGCTCCACCGTGTGGGAATACAGTCTCCCACACTTCTCAAGGACTACTTTATAGCCTCTCATCTTGCCTCAACTCTCCACAACAGGCCACCCCTTCTCAATTTCAGCTGCTTCCTATTTCACACAGAAAATAGACAACAGTAGGAAGAAACCTTCACCGGGGTCCCACCATGGAACCACACACCTACAAGCATTTGCGCCCCGCTCTACTTGCTCTCCTGTAAACATGCCTGGAGTGCTGGTGGGCAGATCCACACCCTCTCACTGCCCAGGCCCCCGCTCCCGCAATTCTCTTCTCTCCTGGGATAAATGTGCAGACATGCTGCACACTTAACCATCAGCAGCTCTTGACAAGGCTCCCCACTCCCTCCACCTGAAATGCTCTCCTCACTCAGCTTCCAAGACCCACCATCAGCTTTTCCTCCCACCTCAGTGGGCCACTAAGGTCTCCTTCAACACCTGGAGCCTCATTTTTCCTATACACATTCACTCCACCACTGATGTCACCTAGTGTCCTGGTTTTAATACCGTCTACATAGTGGGGGCCCCCCAAATTACTATCTTTAGTCCAGACACCTACCTGATTTCTGCACCTGGGTATCTCAATGCACTTAGCAGAGAAGCCCAACTCCTAGGAGGGTCTCTCCAAGACCTAGCCCTAGCCCCTCTCACTCTGCTCTATCCACACTGGCTGCCTCCTCCCGTCAGAAACAGGTACCTGTACCCTCTCTGCCTGGAAGTTCTCCGGCTCCCAATATCCACAGGACTCAACTCCTCACCTCCCCTTCAGTTAAAAGAAGGTTTTGCAGGCGCCTCGATGGCTCAATCGATTAAGTGTCTGACTCTCGATTTCAGCTCAGGTCCTGATTTCTGGGTTGTGAGATAGAGCCCCGCATCAGGCTCTGACCTGAGCGTGGAGCCTGTTTAGGATTCTCGCTCTCCCTCTCTCTCCCCCCCTCCCCCGGGCCCCTGCATGTGTGTGCACGTGTGCACGCTCTCTTAAAATATATATGTGTGTGTGTGTGTGTATGTATATGTGTATATATATATGGTTTTGCCCTGTCTACTCTTAAAACTTCGAGGCACACTATCCCTTCCCTGGCCTGCACCTCCCAAACCCAAACCTTTGTCAAGTCATCATCTCTGGGCTGTTGCCAAGACGTCCTAAATGACTTACTGCCTGATATACCGCCTCTAATTTCCTCACATTCCATATAACCCTGTGGTGAAGAGCTTGGGCTCTGGAGCACTGGTCCTTAAGCAGCCGAGAATATGCATTTGCAAAGTGTTCTTGGTGGTCTGGGACCACTCTTGGAGAACCACTGTTCTAGAGCCAATCTCCTTGGATTAAATTCCTTGCTTCACCCACTCCCACCACAGGGTCTATCACCTGGGGCAATTCTCTTACACTCTCAGTACCTTAGTTTTACTCATACAAAAAATGGGGATAACAAGAGCACCTACTTCAAAGAACTGTGAGAATTAAATGGATTATTACAGTGCCAGTGCCCAGCAAGCACAGGAAGAGCTCAACACAAGTCACTTGAGTTACACTGCTCTGATTGAAAGAGGCCCATAAGAAAATTCTTCCCAACAATCAAGGCTGAAACCTCCGACACAGCAAAAGTCCAGTTTCACCAGCTGCTCTGATGATGCACTTAGAGAAACCCACTCCTCCAGTCACACCTGTCTCCCACTTGTCTGGCCTCCAGCTTTCTCACCGTCACACCTGCTTCCTTCTCCAGAACTTCCTCATCACTGTCAACATTTTCTCCACCCTTCAAGGCTCATCCCCTCTTTGAAAGGTTTCTAGCCAACTCCTCTCAAGTTCTTCCCATCCTCCTAACACTTGAATCCGAACCACTTGATCCTCAGTTTTCACACACTGCCCAGCTGTCTTTAAAGTGGATTCTGGACTGGTGGGTGGGTGGGTGAATGCACAGATATGTGAGGAAGTCAACAAAAGGTTAACTATAGAATCTAGCCGATGTGTCTATAGGTGTTCAGGGTAAAATTCTGTCAACTTTTTAAACGTTCAGAAACTTATGTAATAAAATGTTTTGTTTTGTTTTTTTAAAAAAAGGTGCCTGCAAGTCACAAGTCCTGCCTTAACTCGGATTAAAAGAAAGTACACACAGTGAGTCTCCACCAGCATGTGTCCCCGCCCCGACTCTTCACACCTGAAAGTGGTTGTCCAGGCTGGATGGGCCGCTTCAGCAACGAAATGAACAAAAACAAACCCGGGCCAAGAAAGAAACGGCGGCGGTCGGTGCCACCCTCACAAGGTTTCACTCAGATACAAACGAAGCAGCAGGTGGGCTGCACCACGTCCCTATTCTCAACAAACAGTTGGCTGTTGACCTCCCAACGACCTCTGCGGCCAGCGCTTCCGTGCCCACCGCTGCGCCGGAGACGAAGCCGAATCACCCGCCCGGCCACTGGCCGCAGGCGGCAGTCCACTGCCGGACTCGGGCCGCTCCCCCACCTCCTACCCCCCGCCGCGGTGCATCGGGACAGCCACCGCGACAGGCCGCCCGCGCGATGCCCCGGCTCCGACGAACACACAAGGATGCGGGATGAAGCTGCAGCGCCTCTGCCAAGGTCAGCAAGGAGGTCCGCACGTCCGCCCCCGCCCCGGCTCCGACACGGCGGCTCCCAGGGAGGAGCCAGTGGCGGCCGGCGGGGGTAGCTCCGCGGGCCCCGGCCCGGGAGAGGGAACGGGGCCACCAACGCCGGCCCAGGGCGCCTCACTCACATGTTGTTGAAGCGGAACAGGTCATCGCACGTGAAGGCCCGGAGCGTAGTCATCGCACCGCCGCCGCAGAAGCCGGCTCAGGGGGATCGCGCGCCCGCCCCGCCGGAAGTTGTCCTGCGCGCTGTCGCGGCGGGGGCGGGCTGGAGAACTGCTTCCGGGCCACGTGTTGCTCGGCAACCACGGCAGCGACATGACTCTCTCTGGCGGCGGCGTCTGGAATTGCAGGATCATTCCTGTAGAGTCACGGGGGGGGTCTTACCCTTCAGAACCTCAAAACTCCTCCGTGGGAGTCCCTGGAGGAAGTAAGTAGTGTGATCTCCCAGGAAGGAGACAGAAGGCTGCCAGGGGTTAGGAAATCACAGCAGAAAAGCGGGGTTCAGGAACACTTGGGTGGCCCGTAATAAATGGACCAGAATGGGAGAATTCATGATCCAGAGCTGCCTGTCCCAGGGATGCCCGCCCAGTATGTGATCTCAAATCTTCTACTACCACGTTTACAAACATAAAGAGAAAGGTGAAATGAATTGTAACAGTATGTTATTTTACCCCGTATATAAAAAATATTCTCATTTTACATGTACTCAATTAAAAAAATATGGAATGTTTTACTTTTTTTGGACTAAGTCTTTGAAATCTGGTGTGTATTTTACATTTGCAGCATATTTCAATCTGGGAGGTGATTTGTCATCAGAAATACTTGTTCTGTATTTAGATTTCATCAAATGCATACATAAAATATATAGTTAAAAAGTAGATTTGCATACTCAAATGGTTCCAATCATACTGAGCTTTCAAATAACTGAAAGGAACATCAGTTTTCACATTTAAACTTAAATTAATTAAAGTTAAATGAAGTTAAAAATTCCATTCTTCGGTAGCATAAGCCACATTTCTAGCACTCAATAGCCCTATAGGTAGTGGCTGCCCCACCATATTGGACAGCACAGGTCCAGAGGCTAAGAAATATGCTGCCTGCTTTTGGAGGTTCTTTCACCTCACTCCTTTTCTAAGCAATTACTGAGGTGGTCTTGAGGGACACATTGCAGAGGTCAAACCGACCCACATAACTCTTCAAGAAGAGGTCTGAATTCCAAGGCCCTCACATCTAACTGCCCTGGACCCTAGTTGCTCCACAGGGATCTTCAATGGCCCCCTGACCAGATATGTGGGCCAGGATGGAAGGAGAGGGCAGAAGGCTGAAGAAATAGGTAGGCCTATAAGAAGGATCTCCCAAGGTCCAAGCTCATCTCCAGGTATTGTTTCCAAAAACCTCAACAATGTAGGTGAGTGTAAACACACAGGTAATAGTCCCTGGAGCATGCAAACTCATCCTACAAATGCACCCTGAGGGCAGAATATGACCTCATGAGCTCAGCTACTGCCTGCCAGATGTTTAGACAGGGAGACATTTTAGAAGCATTTTCCTATCAGCAAATCTAAGGAACCACTTTGAGTGAATTAAAGGATAATTTGTGATTTTCATACAAATATAAAATGAGCACATGACAAAGATCGTAATTCATTAATTAATGAAAGAACCAGTCAGTTGTTACAACTACCTCAAGGGAGAATTTGAAGTGCACAAGGCAGGGCGTCTGGGTAGCTCACTTGGTTAAGCGACTGACTCTTGGTTTTGGTTCAGGTCATGATCTCAGGGTCCTGGGATTGGGTTCCGTGTGCAGTGAGGAGTCTGCTCGAGGATTCTCTCTCCCTCTGCCCCTCCCCCCACTTGTGCACAGGGGCTCTCTCTAATAAATAAAAATTTAAAAAAAAACTGAAGTGCACAAGGCAATTAGGAATGCTGAAATGTATGTACAAATAAATGTGAAACTGGTTGATACCCGCAGAGCAGTAATCTAGTGCATCATCTGGACATGTGTGATGCATTTCTATTTCTGTGGACAAGAAACAGTTTCTTTACTATCAGTTTTCTGCAGCTTACAGAGCTAACCTGGAAGGATGTCCCTAACAGAACATCTAGTCATCGTTTTTTTTCTTTTTTGGTCCTTTAACACTGAATTAAAACCAAAGAGATTGCTGAGAACCATAGAAACATGGGTACTTAAAGGTTTCCCTTAAAGCTGAAGACTTTGTAAACATCGTTACACCATTATTTTCTGGTGGTTAAAGTTTCTGGGGGAAAAGAGTAGGCCAGATAATTTTTGTTTTCCCTTTTGTGGGTGACTTAGTTTACTTTGGAGTGTCATTCGTCCTAACACCTCCAGAAGTAAAAACATTCTTAACAGTGCATACATTTTAAACCTAGTGAATCTCTGGAGTGTATCTCCTAGTGAATTTCAGCAGTTTAAACACTGAAATTAAAAAAAAAAAATCAAAGCTGGATCGCTCCCACATAGCCAGTGAGAATGTGAAATAGTGCAGCCTCTCTGGAAAACAATTTGGTGGTTTCTTTAAAACCTAAATATGCAACTACCATTTAACCCAGCAATTGCACTCCCAGGCATTTATCCCAGAGAAATGAAAACTTATGTTCACATAAAAAACCTATACACAAATGTTGAAGCCAGAGTCAAAATTCTGTGTATGGTATGATTCCATTTATGTGATATTCTGAAAAAGGCAGAATTATAAGAACAGAAAACAGATCAGTGGTTGCCAGAGACTGAGGTGGGGGGAGCAGAAGGGAATTATGGGAGAGTTTTATAGGACTGATCATTACGGAGTGTTTCTGTCAAAATTCATAGAACATACACTAAATAGAGTGAATTTTACTGTAAGTTATACCTCAATAAACATGACTTCAATAGAATAAAATCAACGGTTTTTACATTATTGTCCCCACCATTTCGATAAAAAGCATGAACTGCATTGAACCCCATAAAATCTCATGGGTTTTTGAGCTCCTGGGACATGCTGTTATTGATTTCGGTTTCAGTGCCTTCAATTTTATTTTTAACATGAAGGAAAAACACTGTTTCAGTCCTGTCTGCACATTTTCCCCACGTTAAAGATGACTCATAGAACTTTTTATTTATCATTTTACATTGTGTAATTCCTTTTACTGCTTAGTTGGAAAAAACTACAAGCTTTTACCACATTTTATCACAAAACATTTTCCTGCTCATTGAGACAAAACACCATGTGCTCTTCTGTAAATAGTGCTGACCCAGGTTCGCATCCACCATGGCAGAATTCCACATTTAAACAAGCAAACAGCTTGGTGTTTCATCTGTTGTTGCTCCGTTTCTTTTCCTTCAGATCATGTGGAAAGGACAAAGAGCACAGTAAATATATATATTTTGACAAATCCTAGGCAATGTGCTTGACAATAAAACAGCTTGGGTGGGTGGTTGCCTTCAGATAGCAAATTTATTTTTTATATATAATAACTGAGCAGGGTAGATGCATTGACTCTGACCATCAGCGTAATAATCTACGTTCAGTTCTGCTAACCAGGTTTTCAGTTGTGCTCACTCAAGAGCTGACTACAGGTTTCCATGAAACAAGACAGACTCCATACATCCACTCTCTACCAATACCTCACTAAAATGAGAATTTAGAAAAATATTTTTTCAACATATAAATCCATAAGAACAAAGAGAATGAAGGAAGAGACAATAACAGTGAGAATTTGCAACAAAATTATGGATGCTAATAAACTCATTTAGCAAATAGAATAAAGCCAAAAGGTTAGTGACTGCAAGAGGGAAAGCCAAGAAGCAAGGCAATTACTTCCAGGGGCAGAATCCATGGAGGCTTGGGAATTAGAAAAGCCAGGTCCCAGAATGGGAGAAGATAAAACTCTTACTTTCTGGAGAGGCACAAGAAGCTGTGTCCTTGAGTTCAGAGCATGAGCATGAAGGGTGAGGTTAAGATACCCTACCGATGATGGGGATTTTAAGTAAAAGCTGGCATCCTGAATGATGAACCCCTGCAAACACTTTACCTGCTCTGCTCCCAGAATGCCGGAAGCTAGACTGCACCCCAACCTGCCACCCCCCGTAAGATTTTAGAGAACTTTTTTGTGGCTAAACTGCCTCACCTAAGAGAAAAGCCCCACAGACATTCACATTTTTTTTCAGACAGAATGAGCAGACTGCCACATAGTCATTCCAAGAGAAGGGACACACATTCACAAACTCTGCCCAATATACATGATTTCCAACAAGTTTTGTGGTGCTTTACATTTAGTTATGAATAATTAAAAGTCACTGAGCATTTGAGTAGAGCCTCTAACCCAAAAGACAGAGATCAAAACAATCAAACAAAAATAGACCTCCATAAACAGAAAAACAAACACTAAAGGAGATCTTACTATAATAGCCACAGAGAGGTAAGAAGATACTGTATCCATGGAAAGAAAGAACAACTGTTATAAAAATTACATTCAGAAACAAAAAAAAAATTTGGAAATTGCAAATATGTTATTGTGTTTAAAAAGATTAATAATTAAAGCAATGCCCCCAAGAGTATAAGAAATAAAGACAGAGACAGAAAATGGGATTAAAGCTAAAAAAAAAAAAAAGCTCAATCTAGTAGGTCCAATATTCAAATAATAGGATTTCCAGAAGAAAAAGAAAATGGAGAGGAAGAAATGATAATTGTAACAATATAAGAAATGTCCTCAGAATTTAAAAATATGAGTCTCCAGAGTGAAAGAGAATACGGAGTCTCCAATACAGTTGATGAAAAAAATACACATCAAGGCACATCACTGACATTTCCAAACAGCAGGGATAAAGAGAAGATTCTGAAAGTTTCTAAAGAGATTCTAGAAAATGGAAATGAGGTATATTACCAATAATGAAGCAGACGAAAGAGAAATCAAGGAATCAATCCCATTTACAATTGCTCCAAAAACCATAAGATACCTAGGAATAAACCTAACCAAAAATTTAAAAGATCTGTACTCTGAAAACTATAAAACACTTATGAAAAAAATTAAATACAAAGAAATGGAAAAACATTCCATGCTCTTGGTTGGAAGAACAAATATAATTAAAATGTCTATACTACCAAAGCAATCTACACAATGCAATCCCTATCAAAATGACACCAGCATTTTTTTGATCAAAACTCTTCAGAGTATAGGGATAGAGGGTACATACATCAATATCATAAAAGCCATCTATGAAAAACCTACAGTGAATATC